TCATGTGAGAATAAAACAATTTGTATTTCTTTAAATTCTTTAGTTAAAACAATCAAAACAATCAAGTATATGACAATTTTATCTCAGTATGTGTGTTTCTTGAGTTGTATGGAATAAAATCCAATTTATATTAACCCAGTTTGGGGGATGCATTTCAGCTGGTTATGTTTTAAAAGCTTTGTATTTTTTGCTTTCTTTAAAGAAACTGTTACTTTGGATTTATTCTGCTAGAACAATTTTTACTTAAAAAAATGAGTATCTAAAATATTCTTATTTAAAAAAATCAGTAGGTAGCAGTTAGGGGACATGATGTAAAATGAAGTGGTTGACATTTTGTTTTGGTTTCTAACTTGAGATGCTGTACAAGTGATTTTCAGTTTTTTGTTGTAATGGAAAGAAATAGATGCTAAAGTTAGAAAATTTGCAATAATTGGTCTGTGCTACTCCCTAATGGTGTGACCTTGAACCAACTCAGTGTCTTCATTTAAAATGGGAAAAATAATCTAGCTGTAAGTTACTGCAAAGAATCAGAAATGCTTAAGTAAAGCACAGTGTCTGACACATATTAGATATCCAATAAATAGCAGATTCCTTCCTCCCTTCCCATAAGTACCAGTGCTGCTTGATTAGCTCTGTTTTTTATTTATCCATTCAGTTATTTCCTTTGTGCAAGGCAGTGTAGAGATAAAAAAAAAATCAGATGCTTCTTCAGAGAACAGTATAGCTTGGTAAGAAATATAATTTATGGATAATTAACTGTTAATGTAACGTATAAAGTAATGTGGGCCATAGTGAAATACATAAAGGAAGTCATAGTAAAAGCAGATTTTTAAATTTTGGGACAGGGAAGGTTTAATGTATAGTGTGGCTTTGAAGGTCTGGTTCAATAGGATTTAGACTTCAGAACTGGAGAAGTCAATAAGAATAGAACAAGCAAAGCTTATCAGTAGTGTCCACCACCACCGACCTATTTCTGTCACTTTAAACGCAGGGTGTACGTCTTTTTGACTGAAAAATACCATATTGGAAGTCAAAAGATAAGTGAGGAAAGATAAGAGATACTTAAAATCTAATGGTAACTTATTAAAAACCTTCATAAAAGTTTTTTGCCATGTAGGTCTCTCAGCACATACTCATGTGGAACTTCCATATTATTCTAAGTTTATTCTAATTGCTGCATACCTTGCTTCATACAATCCAGCAAGAACTGATAAGAGGTTCTTCCTTAAGGTAATAATTACATCTTTTCACTTGTATGAGAGATGGGGATAATTTTAAGGGTGCTAACTCCTTTATTCTAAAGCTCTTAAAGTAGTGTCATGTACTCTATACATCATTATCCAGAACGTTGGAGAAGTCCTATTTTAGAATTATTTTCTTTCTGAAACAAATAATATGCAGTTTGCTATATTATTAAATGTATTTATAATCAATTTTTTTTTTTTTGCTTCTTTCTCCCACTAGTCTTCAGTTTCATGAGGGCAAGGACCATATCTATTTTTCCCCCGTGTTGAATCCCAAGAGCTCAGCTAAATGCTCTTAATCAGTGTTTTTTATGTGAATTGATATCCTGCTTAAGGGATGATTAAAAGCTCATTTATCTTAGTAATTTTTGTTTTTAAAGAAATAAAGCTGTAATAAATCAATATAAGTTTTTTGTAATGAAGTATCACTTTCATTTAAAAACCTTTTTATCATCGTGGACAGGTAATCTTGTATATGTTGAAAATCTAAGTGAAATTACCCTAAAATACGTTGGTATTTTAAGGTGATATTTTAGGTTCTAAGGAAAATAAAATAAACAGCCCTAAAATACATAAATTAGCATCATGTGTGCCATGTTTTAAACAAATTATGTTTTCTGTTTTTGTAGAATACTTTTTTTTAAATCTTGGAAACTATTTTCTTTAATTGCAGCATCATGGGAAAATCAAGAAAACCAACTTTCTAAAGAAACATGAGAAGGTATTTATATTTTAATTTCTCTAATGGGAAAAACTTAGGAATTTAATGTACTGTTGGAAGTGGACATAGCATGCCTTATTATTAGTCACTTGGACATGAGAAGTTATATTGATACACATCATAATTACATTATAGTAGTATTTTATTATGTTGAATACAGTGATTGAAGGTGCATTCAAGTGAGCTTATTCCCATGCATGTAAATACAGATTCTTATTGTATTTGCCATTGCTAATACAGACTTCGCCTTCCTTTTTAAATGGGAAGCCAGTTTGCATTTGTAGCACACAAAATCAGTTCAGTGAAGAAGATAAATTTCCTATGTCCTACATTCTAATTTTAAATTCACAAAATTTAAAAAGTGAAAATCAGAAAAAGTATCAGCAGCTTTCACAATGTGATTCTCAAGTTGAATTGCCTCCCACATTATTCCCAACACTTCAGGGATTTAGGTAATTTTTACTAACCTCAAGTCACTTCTAAGTGTTAATGAGAACAGGGACACCAATTCCATTTAGATATCTCAACATTTATTTTTTTCTTTCTTCCCTCTAACACCATTCATTCATTCATTATCCATTCATCTATTCATTTATCTAATAATCCTGTGCTGGGGGTAAAAAAGTGAGTAAAGCATTTCCTGTTTTGAAGGATTTGTCTAGAAAAGAAAAAATAAACATCAAAGTATATCATGAAGATAATAGTATTGAGCACCTCACCTATGAGCCAAACACTGTTAAGCTCTGCATGTGATCTTACTTAATTCTCACAATAACATAATGAATGTGGTGACTATCAATATCCTTGTTTTCTAGATAGGAAACAGTATTGGAAATTGAGTAACTTGCCCAAAGTTACATAGTTCATGTGGTAGAACCAACATCCAGTTCCAAATCTTTCTGACTCCAAAGCACACCACAATGGGAACCACTGTTCTTGAGTTCATATAACTGACAAATCACTAGTATCTAGAATTTTTAAAGACTATACAAAACAATAAGAAAAAGGCAAAAATCCAGTAGATAAGTGGGTAAATGATACAGAAAGGAACTTAAATGTCTAACAAACATGACCTGACTATCGACCTCATTCTCTAATGAGAGAAATGCAACTTTAAAAAACATTTTATTTCATTCTCTCAGATGGGCAAGACCAAAAAAAGTCTGATGATTCCTAGTGTTGGTGATAATGTAGAGGAATAAGAGCTTGCATATTCTGTAGGTTGGTGATATCTAACAAAGTTAATATGTAAAATGTTATGTTGGTCAAGATAGGCTGAGCTGTGTTGTGGTAAAAACTAAAACCCTGAACTCTCAGTGCCTTAACATACCAAAGGTTTATATATTGCTTACAACACAATTGAATGTGAGTTGGGGGCCCTCTTTCATCTTATAGTGATGTCAGGGGAAACAGTGGCCTCCAGAGTTGCCACCAATGGGAAGAAGACTAAGGGAGCCAGTGGTTTGGAAGGCCAGGCCTGGAAGTAGCTTATGTCACTTTCATCCATATTCCATTGGCTAGAACTCAAATAGGTGGCCTCCGTCTAACTGCAGTAGAGACTGAGAAATGTATTCTTCCTGTGTGCCCAAGAAGAGACTTGGTAAACATACAGCATTGTCTCACCCTGTACTTTAATTTAGCAATTCCACTTAGCCTCGCACTTGTGCACAAGGAAAAATGTCCAGGATTGTCCATTACTGTCTTCTATGTGCTGCGTTATAGTGATGAATTTTTAAGACAGTGATTTGTCATAAAATGGAATTCTGTAGCATAGTTTAAAAATTGACTAGAGCTACATGAATTGACATGGTTAAATCTCAAAAACAATGTTGAAGGAAAAAAGTAACTTGGTAGAATGATATGTCCAAAAGTGTATTATTTCTGTGAGATTAAATCATGCAAACAATGCTGTATATTGTTTATGGATATGTATATAGTAGTAGTGTTAAAAACTGCCTGAAAGTGATTAAAAACACCAAATTCTGGATGGTGATTCCTTCTAGGGAGGGAAAGGGATGAGAGAGGTGTCCAAGAGAGCTTCATCCTATCTGTAATGTGATCTAATGTTTTATTTCTTTGTACATATTTTGTAGTGATAAAGTTATATAAAATTGGGAGGTAGATACATTGGTGTTGATTATCTTAAACTCTGTACTTTCCTAAATGTTTGAAGTATTTAATGAGAAAAGCATATAAAATTTAAGACCTGGAAAATGATTTCTGAACTAGCTTTTAGATATAAATAGCTGAGGTAAATACTTCATTTTGTAATTCTGAGTAGGTATTTTTCTTTATAGTCACTCTTTAAAGAAGTAGTTATTCCCCTGCATGTAAATTTAGATTCTTATTTTATATGCCATTGCTAATACAGAGTATTTAAATTCTTTTATTGCTACTAAAATTATTCAATAGGGTGGATGTTGAGCACTACAGTTTTCTAATGACAAGTAATTGTACCATATGACTTTGTATACAAGCAAAACGTTTTTACATTCTCTAAAACTTTTAATTTTAATTGTTTCAGGCTGACAGTTTATTCACAAATTATAAAACATTACTTTTTTAAGCTAGTATTTACTATAACTGTTCTTTTTAGAACTAATGTTGAATAAGTACATTTTCCAGTTGATAGCAAAAAGAGGAATGGTGAGAAAGTAAGTTTTAGTCTAGGAGTTGGGACCTGAACCCTGCTTTTGACTAGTGCTGTCTTGAGCAGTGACTTGGCTAACTCACTTAACGTGTAGTTATGACAGCAAAATAGGAGCCATGTTCAGGACTAGAATGAAGGACTTGTGAGTTTTTTCCTCTAAAAGTGTTTTCTTTAAAAAGTGACTTTGTTGATGCTAAGAAAATCATGAAGAAAATGTTTAGGGATAAATCATGATTGTATTAAGTAAAGTTTTAACAGACTGCAAACTAGATTTGTTAGCATCTTTTGGGAACTATATATAGTATAAATATATTATTGGGAATTTATAGTACAGAAAGTTAGTGCCATGTTATAAGGAGAAAATCCATGTTGTTTTTTCTTACAGACAAGCAATCATCTCCTTGGACCAAAACCATTTCCGCTAGACAGATTATTAGCAATACTATATAGTATTGTGGATAGCAGAGTTGCTCCAACAGCAAATATCTTTTCCCAGGTAAGCTTGATGATAGGTTATTAACTACCATTTTTATCTTTATGGAATTGTGCAGGTAGATTAGATTCTTATTGTATTTAGTTGATAGAGTTCCAGGCATTTAGATTTTTGGTCATCATATGTTACTATTTTAACTATACAATGAACACTATTTTTGGTAAGTAATTGAAAATTCCAAATATAGAATCTTTGAAAGTGTCACTGAATTTGTATATATTTACAGGTATAACTTGATGACAAAACGGCTTGATGTTACTGGGTTTTTACTTTACTGTGTAAAGGGATTTTTAAATGATCATACTTATCCTGCTGATTAAATAAAAAGTGGCTTCATGATTAAGTGGTGAATTACAATATAGAATATAATTTAATGAAAACAAAATTTTAAAGAATATATTTGTAAGAAAAAGTATTTTATCTTTATTCCTCATATTTATATACCTTGTAGGTTGACAGTATGCATTTTTTTTTTTAATCTTATTTTCCAGAATGATTAAATTCTCAAAATTTCACTAGATGGCAGCAGTAGCATAAAAATTATAAATCTTTTTCTTTTTAAGTAAAGTAGTTAAGGTTTTGTTTTCTGTTTTTGACATTTTAAGAAAAAATGATTTCTTAAAAATATGGCCCCAGTAGATTTCTTAAATGGTTCAGCAAAACAACACTTAGGACATGGTATGAATAGATACACAAAAAGCAAATGATGTGACAAGTGTTGAAAAGCAAAAGTCACCCCAGAAGTTGCAGTGGACATTTTGTTTTATGCATGTTTTTAGATTGAGAAATACATCAATAATAGGCATTTATATTTTAATTTACTGCAGATAAATTGGGTCCCTAATGTTAGATTTTGTAATCTAATGTGTGGGTGGTGTTAACTTTTAATTCTTCATTTAAAGAAATCTTTGAGAACTAAAAATAGATATGTTCTCATTATTGAAGTGAAATAATTTTTGCGTAAGTCAGCATTATAGAAAATTCTATCCACATTTATTGTGTTTTTGAAGAAAGGTAGTCTAGTCAGATACTAGTCTATGTAAATAACAGTTACATAGGTAGATTGGTAGCCCTAATGCTGATAATTTAAAAAATATAATTCAGTTTTAATCTGTATTACAAGATTTTTTTTTCCATACATTTTCAAAAAATGCTTTGTCTGAAATTTAAAGTAGTTTTTAATCAAAATATATTTTATTAGTAGCTTTCTACATTCAATACATGATTTTTGTTTTTGTTATTGGGGTAGCTATGAAATAGATAGCAGATATTAATTATTTTTTTATTGTAAGGAATACAGTAACCTCAGGTGAAGTGATATCCCTGATATGACACGAGTAAGTCTTTGAGAATTAAAGCTTGGGGAAGTGAGGTGGGTAGGACTTCCAAACAGAAAAGTACAGTGTTGATACCACGTGTGATTGTACTCCTCAGGTACCTCAGCATTACCTTTATGGAGGACACAAGGGTAAATATTTTTTTCTTTCAGAGTGCTTATAATTTATTCTGGGGGGATAAAGCATATACTTTAAATAATGGAAGGCTATAAATGAATTATAGATAGTGCTACTGGGTGTACAGCTGAGAGAGGACTTCTGGGTTGGACAGGATGTGAATGAAAGATGACTTTACAGAAAAGGTGAAAAATGGAGCTGCGCTATGGAGAATGAATAGGTTTCTTTTTTTTAAGTATTTGTAATTTACATAAGTTATGTATGTTTATTGTACAAGAATGAGAAAGTGGTAAGTAAAAAGAAAGGAAAAATAATTCATAAAATTAGCCGATGTCTTATTTCCAATGGATAGAGTTTAGTCAGACGAAGGGGGGAATAATAGCAAAGGTATGGGACTAGGAACAAGCAGGACCCATTTGCAAATTAGTCAAAAGCGTATGGGTTGTATTGTAGTGGTAAGCACTTTTGTCGTCGGAGCTGGTAGTATTGACACAGCATACCTGCTGTTGGGACTTTACGTATATTGTGCCTTACATTGGTAGACCACTTTGCATTTTATTAAGTCTTGTCTAGTAACATACTAAGGGAGGGAACTGAAGCTCAGAAACCCTAAGACATCTGTCCAAAGCTACACAGTAAATCACTGGTAGTCTCTAAACTTGAATGAAGACTTTCCTGGCTGCAGGACTAGGTTTATAGGGATAGATGATCAGAACCAATGAGATGTTGCTTATTTAGAGATTTATTAGCTGCTCTGAGGTTTTCACTATGGATGAACAATGTTACCAGTCTTTTTATGCTTTCAGCAATGCCTGTAATATCATAATTAAAAACATTGTGGCCTAAAATGTATCTTTATTTTTTAATGAAGCTAAATTCTTTTCAACCTTAACAACCCAGAACAATATTGTATTTTTTATCTCATCTCTTTAATTAGCAGTAATCAAAATGATAAATATTGCATGGCTTTAAGTGAATTTATGTTCAATTGATGACAAATCATTTAGGACTTGATCTCAGTGATTCCCATTTAAGACACAAAGAGTATGAGGCAGGTACAAAGGGATAGATGCAGCCAGTCAGAGAGTTGACCTTTACTTTTGCTTGGTCAGTAAAGTAGCCAAGAAAATCAAGTACCATACTTTAAGAACAAAATGTGGCAAAAATCACATCCAGAAGAAGGATATTCTCTCACATGCCTTGTTTTTTTTTCTTCCTATTGATTCCCAAGTGACCTTTTCAGTTTTTCTCCTTGTATTCATCCATCAAAATTACGCTCTTGTGCATAGGAATGACGACATGTGTTTAACCTACGCTCACTTAATTTTTCAAGTGAAAAATAAAAGTATGACCACGCTTGGATTGGAAGTGTTTAACTATAGGAACACTAGATGGCAATATTGTTGCATTCTAGCTTTAAGATGAACTAGGAAAACATCTTTTCTTTTTTAATATTGTCCTTGATATTTGAAGAGAGCTGTTAATTTAAAATATTGGTTTATTTGAATAAAGGTAAAATTGCCTGAAGATGTCTAATGATTTATGTGTCTGCATATGCATGTATACACTTCCATGAAAATATAAATACGACTGGTAAAAAAAGTTGTGTTGCTTGAGTATTTCCATCTGGAAATAAATCACTTTTTATTGGCTGTAATGTAATTAATTATATGAGATTAATCTATTATTTTTCTATTCACTAATTCTACATGCAACTGTTTTAAGGATTTATTTTATAGTAATGTGCTGTTTTTATAGTTTGATATACCAGTTACATAATTACTTATACTTTTTACAGGTGATAAATTGATAAAATGTGGTATATATGTTAAAAATTCTCTTATAGCAAAAGTTTATTTCCATCACATTTCATTTAAATTTATTTAAATATCTTCTGTAATATAGTTATAAAAATAGTAACTTAAAGAATCTTTAAAGTTAATAAAATTACAATCTTCTGTAATATAGTTATAAAAATAGTAACTTAAAGAATCTTTAAAGTTAATAAAATTACAATTGAGAATAATTAAATTCGTAGTAGTAGTAGTAGTAGTATTCTCTAGCTGGTATTCTTCTGAATTTCTTTGTTCTTTATTAAATTTTAAATAAAAATTCTCATTAACTTTTTAGTCTCAAAGAAGTAAAAGAATATTAGCACATTTAACCTGCATTAGATTAATGTTCAGATTTATTGAATTGAAATATGGCTTTTAAATTATTCTTAAGCTGTTAACATAATTTTAGCCTTATCCAAGTTAGTACAATTTTGCAGTCGTGATCATGGATCATTTAAAAATTTTCATTCAAATAAAATAAATGTGGCCCTTAAATTATATATCTGAACCTTGTGAATGACAAAGCATTGATTCTGGTGTTTTCATTCTTTCTTCCCCTCAGCATCAATAGAATGGATAAACTACCATTTTTATGCAAGAAATGTTAAAAGTTCATAGGTTTTACTTTCAAAATTTAATTTGATCATATGTGTTATTGAAGACCATTTATCATCTTTAAAAGAAATACTATTGAATTGTCTTTTTTTCAGAAGTATATTAAAACCAGGTTGTACTTTCTTATTTTATTTTTTCTTTCCTGAAGAAAAAAAAGGTGATTTGGAAATTTTTGAATGATCTATTTCATCCTTTTGATATTTCCGTATCTTCTCTTATTCATCCTTGCCCACTCCCTCCATGGTCTTGTAGTTAGCTGAAAGCAGTAAAAGAACAGTACTTTAATACTGTTCTCAGGTGTAAAACTTATTTGAACAATTTAAGCCATATTGCTTTATCTTTTCCTAGATGATAAAATTGCTTAGGAGTTTATTTCTAAAATATTGATTCAACTTTCTAAAATGACTTTTAAAAGGAAAGTTATCTTTAAAAGATTAAGGACATTCAATTACATCTGTTTTCCTATCATATATTGTCATTGATCTTATTTGATCAGTTAGTATCTTGAAAAATTTCTGAAGGTAGTTTACTGTAATTCTTCAATTAAGAAGTTTAAAATAATATAACTATATTACTATAAGAAACTACTGTGAATTAGTATCAAGAAATAGTTGAAAGATAAAGTAGCATACTTCCTTTAAAAAATAGTTACATGTGCCATACTGATAGGTTGCAATTTTTTCATTAAAAACTATTTTTTTCATTAATAACTAATTTCTGAATGGCTTCATATTTTTTGATATGTAACTTAATAAGGAAAAAATTAAAATACCCAGTTTGGAGCAAAGTATAAAGTATATTTTTTCAAAATTACACATTTCTATTTCTCCTTTCTTGGCCCTTGAAGTCTCATCATGATGCTATCTATATATGGAATGTATTTGGACTATATTTGTTACATCAGTTTAATTTTTTAGTCATAAATCAAGTTGATCTTTTCTCATAAAACTTGAATTAATTGTAGTAGCATTTAAATGACCTATGCCTTCTACTTATTTAGATGTTTTATGAACAATACAGGGTATAAACTAATTATTTTGATGTTTTCCAAATGAATTTATCATTAGAAAACAGAATGATAGTTTAGTTATTTTATCTG